AAATGTTAATTTTTTTTATTAAGCGAATTCGAAAAAAAAAAAAACTAACTAGCCCCACGTACAGTGATATCGCGTACACGAAGCCCGCACATATCTTCATTTCGCACCAAAAATATTATTGAAAGAAAACAGTTACGAGATGTAGAACGATTACGTATGCGAAGCCAATTTGAAGCCATCATTTAACCCCGTCTGTATCTCCGCATCTGCACACCGATCGTTGAAAAAAGAAATTAAAAGAAATACTTGCGGTACATAGTCCCGTCGCCTCTGTAGTCTATAAGAAGGGGGCATTTTCTGTCTCTCTCTAACGCTACCTGTACATTTTCTTAATAAGAGCTTTGACCAGACACATACTAGTAACCAGTAACATACTAGAGCCATACTAGCCTATGGCTATGGGTCTAATCAGCGTTGTGCATTTCTTGAAATGTGGTCATAACAACCTCAATAAAATGTAAAAAAAAACACGTAGAGTAATATTTCGTCTCGCCAAGTCTATCCCTCCAAGACATGCAGACGCCATTATCACTCAAAATCGTCGAGTTCAGTCGGAAAAGTGACCAAGTCCCATTAACCAGCATCCCAATTTATTCGCACGTTATATATGGCACATGCCATCTCGCGAAATCAGAGCGGGTTCGAAAATAACGCAGTTTAGCGGAAACCTTGCGACTATGGGGACAGCCAATTCATTTATTCCCACGCATCCAGAATGTGCCCTCAAATATATATACGACCAGCCTTGACAATGGAGAACCATCAGTCGCGGTCAACACGATTGAGTTGCAACACGGTGGCCGTGGTTGAAGAGGCCCCAAACGTGAACGGTGACGATACTGAACTTTAAGATTATCAAGCGAGTACTAGTAACTGAAACAGTCTTCACCATTTTTTTTTTTTTGCTATGTGGACGCGGCTTTGCTGCGTTGGTCGCACCGTGAGCACGGTGATGTTACAACTAATATTGAGCGCGAATGCACAACACATCTCTTAAAAACGACGATTATAATGTATACAGCATTGTGCACACAAGAACATGACTGTGACGGGCACACTTTTTGAGGGGTTCAAAGGTCAAGGGAAGACCTCCCTCACGGTGATGACGGCCACGGGGACGAACAGACCCACCACGTTGACAGACAAATAACGCGTCCCGGGGCTATATAGATTGACGCGTGTGAACGCACACTGCGGAATCCGAGCATAGCGCACGTTCCGGTGGACCTCAAGCGAGCGACAAGACAACGCGGAGTTTGACCTCGAGAGCCTTACGAGTGTTATCGGGCGGGGTTCACGAAGGCGTGACCGATAAGCCGCGCGATAAGCGCTCGAGAACAACCCCCCCCCCAAGGAATGCACTTGTTCCGCGAAAACATGGCTACATAACGCGATCCTTCCGACCAGGCCGCGCGAGACGCGCGTCCTGTATCATTCGAATCGGGGCCTCGTTAACTATTACTGTCCCAAGAGCTACGACGCGTCTATACAGGAGCGTAACTGATGCCGCAAATTGTGTGCAGCGACAGCGCTATGGTTCACGTCACATACAACGATCAACACTACACACAGCAGCGGGAGGGACAATGGCGAACGGCGCGAGTCATCGCCAAGCGTTGAATCAACAGCGCGGTTCACACGGAAAGGTTCGATAGCCATCTTGCATTCGTAAATGCCTCGCGCAGCGAAGCGAGAACGGTCGCGGTGCGGGCTCTCGCCTTGCGGGCCAACGCTCCGAACCGCTAGAGAAATAAGCAGAGAGAGAGAGAGAAAAGGAGAGAGAGAAAAGGGAGAGAGAGAAAAGGAGAGAGTATACGCTTGTGCGTGCGTGTGTATAACGATTCCGCGCACGCCTCCCGGTATATACTGCGATCGCTGTGGCGGTATACTCATACATGCTCGCGCACACATGAGCGCAAGCTCGGCGAAAGGTCAACGCACTTTGGCGGAGCCGACATTGTGACAAGCGGCGAATAAGCCCCCGGCGGGCAGACCCGAGCGAGAATAAATGAGACACGTACGTATATACGCGCGGGAAACACAAACGCGCACGTCCGCGAGGTACGACGAGAAGGAACGATATATATAAACAGGAGGAAACAGAGCTATACCGACGATCCGTATAGAGGAACTATACACATACATACAACATTGGATGCAACAGAGTGGGCCGGGAGGGGGATACGTAAGGGAACATGCTCGTTAATCGAAATTCGCGACTAAATCGCGCGTGTGTCGACGGCAGCGCGCAAGCGGGTCGAAAGTAAAAGGGTGCGAAGAAATACGCTACGCACGCTGTACACATAAAGGCTACGCGGCGGCCATGCGCGCTCATTTCCGCAACGCTCACGCGTTCGCAAGGCGGCGCGCACGATCTGCACGTATCGAAAGCGCTTTCTTTCTCTCTCTCTATTCACGCTACCGGCGAAATTCAGCGCTCACGGAGGCGGATCGTCTGCGCCTTTCGCAATAAAGGAAAACAGTTACGGTCGAAAAGGAAGGTACGAGGTCAGAGGAATCGGAGGAGCTATGCCTACATACACGCCGGTTGGTTCTGCGGCGAAACAAATGGGGCTGCGGGGCAAGGCGGGCCGGTGTCCCACAGACTATCGATATAGACACGGCCAACTAACGACGATCCTTCGAAGCAGTACAGCGACACCTAGCACGCACCGTCCCCATCGAAGCTGCGAGTGTTCCACGCGCACAACTGTTCAGTGAGGGGTTGTAGCCAGCCCGCACGACAATTGTATGGTCGGAGCCGGGGCCGGTTTCCTGCGAACTCGCCCTCATTCCTTTGGCTTGTTTGCGTGCGCATTCGCGATGGAATGAGGAGGGGGGGGGGGGGGAGTCTCGGAAGGGGCACGACAATCACAAGCAGGCCTTGTTCCTAAAACCGGCTTCCTATACATACACAACCGTGTTCGTGTTCGGAACGAACGGCGTTTCCTCGTCTTTCTGCAGGGTCGAACGACAGCGTCGCATGTATATATATATTCAGCCGTGAGTGTATTATCGCATGAGAGCCGAAAAAACCGTTCCTTCAGCGACATTATAACACTATATACAGAAGTGCCTGCGCGTTGCTATATTTCGGTCGCGAAGTCGAAGACAACTTGCCGCTATATTGTATATACGAGTGACACGCAAAAGAGGAGGCCGATGTGAACGGGTTTTTTCACGAGCCATATCTGGGTTGTTTTCTCAGGGTCGCGCTGGATGCAAAAGGAGCGGGAAAAAAGGCGCGAGCGACGGCATACAGAGCACTCTCGACTGTTACACACGCTCTCGAGCTAGTAGAACACATGTAGAGGGTTTTTGTAACCACGCGTGTCTTGATGCATGCGAATGGCCTCGCTTCGCCTTGTGCGGGTGGCTGCCGTCGGGACGGTATACATTGAATTCTCGCTTCCATCTTTTCTCTCTACGAAAAGTATAAGCACACAGTATACATGAAACGAGCCACGAACAGGCATACCCTACCGGAAACGCGCGCGTCTGACACTTTTGCGATCGTCAAGTGGTTGCGTGCATACACAGAGAGGGCCGTTCATAAGCAGGTCTTACGGAATCGGGAGCGCGGCTGCACGCAGGCGAGCTCGTATACTGTTATTCAGAAACGCACGCTCACGAATCGCGTCACGCTCGGCGAGCCACGCCGACAGCCATGCAGCTCTTCGGGGTGTTATACGCAACACGCGACGCGGATTCGAGGTTGACGAGAACGCGCTAAGCGAGTCGTCGGGGACACCGCTGCGCCAAGCTACTGCCGCAGCTGTAAATTACACTGCACACGGCGCGCGCGTCAAGCCATTGAGCCGGCCTTTTAACGGTGCCGCTCCCACGCCCCGAGCTATACCGTCGATTACGGCTCAGCAGGGGAGCGGGACGCCCACGACGATCGGCTGCCGACAGTGCAGAGGCGGGCGAGAGAGCCTGGAAATAACACTTCCGAATGAGCTCGACTCAACGGGGTGAAGTCGCGCACTGTATACACACTCTCAGTCTGTCACGCATATAGTGCTTGTGGAAAGGTCTGAAGCGAGGCTGACATCTGTTACTGGGTCATTCTATATATGTATACGATGGACCGCGTCATGCACTCCGACGCTCACGAGATAGAGGAGGAGAATCACATTGCTTACTTCCACCTATCGAGCGAGAAGTGTGTCACATTTGGCCCCGCTATACATTATATAGGTGGATTAGCCAGAGATCTGGTCACGAACGCGGTAGTTCCACGCATGTAGTATACATATATGAGGTGCGACTTGTATACCAGGTGAGTTAAGCCGTGACACAAGCGATAAAATTGCTAGCGAGCCTGAGATCATTGGCTGATGTATACTTTAAGCTTCGTTGTACGACATGTCGAGACGCTCCGATCTCCCATAAGTTACTGATCTTAGCTTTAAGTGACTACTGCGACCTATACAATACGCTTATTTATTCGGCTGCGCGAAAAAGTGAAGTTCTATTGCCCACACGAGACGCGTCAGTATTCTGTGCACCTCTCTTGCTGTTCGCGAATCAGGGTTACCGAGTTTGGTAAGAAGCACAGACTCACCCCGACACATAGAAACCTCACGAACAATGCCCGCAGAGAGGTTGATACATTTAAGCGAACCTTTGCCACAAGGCATACACATTGTAAAGGAAGGGGCGTAAAATCATTTCAATAAACAAACGTGTGGACAGTCAAAGTGGACGGACCACGAAAGTTCATAACAACAAGACATTTAGGATGCCGCACGGCATGCAGCCTTGGCACACGTGTATGCACGATGCATACGCTCCATTTTAAAACACACGTAACACGTAAGCGGACTGTTAGCGCTCTTTTTTTATATACTGAACAAGCCTCGAGTGCGGGAGCCGAAACGTCTCGCTTTAAAGTAAACGTGCGTGGTCAGTGGCCATTTTAATTGTACCCATGTCTTTTCCCGACCGGACAATTTCCGGCCCTGCTCTCGACTTCTAATAACCGTGCGTATACTCACGCAGTTGGGCGACTGTCTTTTTGGCGACGAGGGCGTCCTGCCAGGCGGCGTGCGCGGGCTCGGCCAGCGCGAGCACGAGCGCCGCGGCTAGGGCTCCGGCCAGCCGCAGAGGGGAGAGCCACGACGTGGGCCACCGCGGAGGCGGTGAGCAAGCGCCACGGGCCGGTAGCCGCCCCATGGCACACGGCGGGCGCGCCTACAGGCGCACGGCCCGGTGCACGGCGGCCATGTCCCGTTGCGCTACGGCGCCCATCGGTCCTGCACGCACACAAGAAAGATGCGAGTGCACCGTCAGAGGGGGCGCCACAGTCACCAATAACAACACACGCGCTCACTTGACAGCCAAAGCACCGGTCGAGATGAGGTTCCTAGCTGTGTTTGATTCAATACCGTTGCGGCAGGGGCGGCGTCAGGATAGTCTTCACTGGGAGTGGGGGAGGGTGTACCCACGACAAGTGAGTTCGTCCAGGGAGGCAGGATAGGCGGGTAACTCATGCATTCTTTTTAGGGGCGAAGCTCCTTAAAGCGTCACCCGATCGTCCTCTGTAGTAACCACCTCTCTCGGGTATGTGCCACAGGGCGCGGCCGCCGGCTAATCTCGGCAGCCACGCACAGGGGAGTTTACTTCTTGGAATGTCCGCTGGATGGCGGTACTTGTATATAATCAATATATGATGAAAAGATGCGAGATGTTGGTACTTGGAGTGTTCACTAAACGGACGGACATACAAACAGACGCACGGACGGACAGATCGATCTACAGCTAGACAGACGGGCGGATGCACGAACGGACGTACGGACGCTTCACCCCATTCATCATCATTCAGTCCGGGGATATGGTGTGATTTTTTTTTTTACTATGCTTGCACTTTGGGAAGAGGAGGGGCACGTTCCCTGTTAGCGCCACCCTAATTTACAGTATCAATGGGAAAAGGTAAACATAGTAACAATAAGAATCGCAATTTACGTCCCCAAAATCACAATGCGATTAAAAAGAGGGACACCGAGGTGGAGGGCACCGAAAATTTCGACAACCTGGGGTTCCCTAACGTACGCCCAAATCGAAGCGCACGGGCCTCTAGCATTTCAACTCCGTCAAATGGCGACCGCTTTGAGCTGGACTCGACCCCACAACCTTTTTGTCAGTAGCCGAGTGCCCTGTAAGGTATACGTACCACAAGATCACCGCGGCGGCATAGTGTACAAATTATTCGTCATGCCAAGTCAGCGAAGCCCGACGGCGTTCACGAATGCATCGGATATCTAGCTGCGTCCGAAGCACACCGTTTCTTTATTTATTACTTTTTTATGTGCCTTGAACATGACTCACGTCTTCCATAACCGGCACGCGCCGTACTTGCCAAAACAACGGTTCTCGACTCGCGCTATTCGTGGTAATCCGAAGCGAACACAGAGTGAAGAAAAAAATAATATGACACGCAGGACAGGATTCACCACTTCAAATAAATAAATAAATAAATAAATAAATAAATAAATAAATAAATAAATAAAAGTGTCATGGCCAGCGAGTGCATTCTTCAACGCAGCAACGAAATATATACGAGTCCTCAATAAAAACTTAAACTTCAGCACGTTGTCTGCGTAAGAGTCGTACCACTTGCGACTATACTGGTCGGTCGTGCCGGACATTAAATGCGAGCAAAAATTAAGATTCTCGCCGACGCTCACGTGGCGACACCTTTCGACGCCGTCCAAACCGCTTGGCAACCGACACGTGCGCACTATGTACATACAGGTTCAACTCGTTTCGACCGCGTGCGGCAACGGATTAACGGTGCCAGAAAACAACTGGCCTTCTCGCGGATTCTAACGGTCGCTTCGACATCGCCGGGTCGTTTTAATTAGCCCGCTGCACGGACCGGCGGCGAATGACCTTCGCGCAAGTTGTGCGTTGTACGTGGAGCCGACCGGGCAGTGCTGGACGTTGGCTCCCGAGAGCTGCGCCTAGCAACCGTCTTGCCCTACACATTCAAGGCCTTTTCGTGTCCGCGCACTCGCGTGCGTCCAGCGCTATACGCTATCCCGGTAAACTCGGCAAGATAACGTGCAGCAACTTCACGTATAGTCTCGTAACGAACGAACGACCAGTTCAAGTTAGTATATAGAATTATTATTATTATTATTAGTAATAGTAGTAGTATACTTTGGAGTAGTACTAGTGGTAGCAGCATGAAAAATAAATAAAATCGAGGGCAACTTTTTCTCTCTCTATTTTACAGACAGTTTCTCTAGTTATTTTCCACCAACGTTATGTCAAGGAGTACGTTGAATACAAGATCGCAACTATACCATATTTCCTCTCGCACCATCAGCACAGCTAAGCACAGGCTGCAGTCGGCTAAACATAGCCAACCGTTGGCGAAGTGATTCCTAATGTTGGCTGAAAAAATTTCCAAATGAATGTCCATCGATTTCGGCTAATGTTGGCCATCAGCTGTAAACGCAGAAACGTTGTCTTCAATCTTAATCATATCATTAGGTTCTCTACCATTATATCCATGTTATAGCTTTTTTAGCGCGCGCACACACACACAAAAAAGACAAGAAAGCGACAAACGAGCTCAGGTCTCGGGAGGACCATTCTCTCTATCACCCCACCCCCCTTGACCATTTGCAAAACCGGCAAGCGGAAATCAGAGCCGCGAACTCGCGCTGAACAGCTACCGCAGAATGCGGCGGCTTTCGATTCCAAACTGGTTCCCACTTCTCCAAGATCCGTTGCGCTGGCTGGATTGCAAGACAGATTTCGGAGAACTCCGAGCCAATTTGTTTGGCACAAACAAGGAAAGTATAAGGAGACGCCGCGCAGAGGTGTACAACACACGCAGTTGAGCAGCGATGAGGCCGACGCGCTGGTCGATATAAAGAAACGTTAGACGAACTGAACGGCAAGTTTCGAGAAAGAAGGGTGGCGGGGGGGGGGGGCGGACATTTTGCCTGCCCCCGGGGTCGGCACACGACCGAGTCGGTGGCGGGGCCACTTCAACTAATTCCGCCGGGGCCAGCGACGCACGTTCGGGGCCGAGGAGCGGACCGACTGCCGCTCGCCGCAGGAGGGTCCTCTCGAAAAGTTCGGGGTCATTAGCGGTCATTGACAACGAGCGCGCTGCGAGAGAGGTTCGCCCCGGAACGTCCGCCGGCCACCAGGCCGCAGAGAGCGCGGGGCCACCATGCAGCTCGCGCAGGCGCAAACCGGCGCGCTATTCGAACTTGGCGCCGCTCGACGAGCACCAGATCTGATTCGTCCGGAAAGACGTTGACACTCTTCTGGGTTCCACTATGTATACTCCCCAATGAGAGTGTAGTGATTTCGAAAGAGAGTTCTCGTGCTTCCTTTAAGAGGGTCATATATGTGGAAATAACGACTAACAGAAGAGGAGCCAAAAGATTCTCACTCTTTTCTGATATTCTAAGATGGCGCTTCGGCTAAAGCATATATATACCGGGAAATACGAGAGTTGCGAAAGTGTCTATTAGTCGGCGGTGCAACCTCATATTCAGGCCCGGACGAGGCGCACGAAATCTTTCTCAGTTGTCAAAGCCGCGAGGCTCAAAAAAGAACACTTTTTACCGTGCTTAGCTATCGGTCGGTGAAGTGGTAGAACGTCGGAAGTACTGGGTTTGATACCCGATGCCGCTGGGCTTTCATGTAGGGGAAATAAGTAATCCAACCTGCATGGCAATCAGTAGGCGTGGGATAGGGTTCTCATCCCAAGAAGCTGGCCTTTCATTTGTTTATGCCTGTTGAAAGAGTGATCCCATTAGAGTGCCGCAGCTCGATATCCAGGCGTCACCCATTGATTGATTGATTTGTAGGGTTTAACGTGCCAAAACCACCATATGATTATGAGAAACGCCGTAGTGGAGGGCTCCGGAAATTTCGACCACCTGGGGTTCTTTAACGCGCACCTAAATCTGAGTACACGGGCCTATAACATTTCCGCCCCCATCGGAAATGCAACCGCCACAGCCGGGATTTGATCCCGCGACCTGTGGGTCAGCAGCCGAGTACCTTCCACTATAGACCATCGTGGCGGGGCCAGGCGTCGCCCAAATGTATTATCTATAACTGTACGCGATACGTGAACCAGTTCAAGGAACGCCCGGGTAACCAACGTCCCATACACGAATTACTCCGCCTAGAAACATATGGAGCGTGTTACGACCGGCCCTGGGGAGCCAAGCAGGGAGAGTTTGGGGGAGAACCGGTTCTTGACCTGACGGTGTCGTCCACCCCCACCTCCCCATTCGGGTTCCTCCTCGCCGGGAGAGCTCCGTGGTCTGCTGTGCGTTCGTGACCATGTTTGGTAACATTTTAGGGCGCCGTGACCATATATGGACCTCGTGTTGGGATGTGCCACTCCATGTGTTGTGAGGTGTGTTTCCCCCTCTCTCGTGGCCGAGGGGCCGGCGACACCGTATTGGCTGACGATGCGGACAAGGCGCCCAGTGTCAACGGCGCGGCGCTATAAAATGCCGAAGACGTTTTGTATCACACGCACTCTTCTCTCTTTGGGTCAGTTGACCACTTCTCCACATGTAAATAAATCTCTGTTGTTCGTTCGGGCGCTTCTTTCTCGCTGAATTGTTGGACGATGGATCCTGCGACGGGGCCAGCTACCGAAAACGAGACCGGCAGGACCCGGAGTCACAACAACTGGATGGCAGCGGCGGGATGCCGATAACCCCGAAAGCGACCACTGGACGGAGTGAGCCCGAAGTTCAACAACGGGACGACAGGAGAAGGAGGACACGAGCTCATCGACTTCCAGAGAGAATCGAACGGCACTTCTGAGAGGCACGACGCCGGAGACATGACTGCGAACTGGGTGAGTGCCGGCTTTCTCTGTTAAATTTTACCAGGCATTTATTCTATGTGTTAAGTAAAAGCTGGTAGAGAGGGGCTGTCTTGGTCATTGGGTTAACAGGTAACTTGCGTCAGGCAGAAATTGTGTGATAGCTTGGTTAAGCTCTTTCTGTCAGTGGCGTCAAGGTTAACAGTGACAGGGCAGGATTCCGTGTAAGAGCTTTTGAAGCTTTATTTGTAGACTAAGTTAACGGAAAACTTGAGGCAAGGCAGGTATCTAGAGCTGTCGTTGCCGTCAAGGTTAATTAGTTGCAGGACAGGAATCTTTGTGGAACAGAGACAGCGGTACTGGAGGCAGCCATGAATCTGAAATCCCTGCGAAAGTCCATGTTGTTGCTTCTTGCAAGGGAGTTGAATCTGGAGGTGTCGG